GATGGGGCTTGGAGCAACCTGGGCTAGTGGAAGGTGTCCCTGCCCATGGCAGGGGGTGGCACTGGGTGATTTTTAAGGTCCTTTCAACACCAATGATTCTGGGTTTCTATGGTCCCATTGTTCCACCAGTCCTGGATTTAGTTCACCTGGGCCTGCCCAGGGAGGTTTGGAGTCCCCACCCCTGGAGGTGTCCAAAGAAGGCCTGGCCATGGCAACTCAGTGCTCTGGGCTGGGGGACAAGGTGGGCATCGGGCACAGGTTGGACTCGATGGTCTTGGAGCTCTTTTCCAACCTAAATAATTCTGGGATTCTGGGATTCACACACAGAGAATGGAAAAAATCGGCTTTAACGTGCCGTCCTGCCTCTCCTTCACACCCACGAGCTCCACACAAGCTCTGCTTCCAGACCTGGCTCCATCCCTGGAGCTGCCACCCTGCACTTATATTCTGATTTTTGAAATGTCTACATCCAATCTGCTCCAGAAAGGCTTGTTTGTGCTCAGCTGCTGGGGTGTAACCAGGGAAGCATCAAACACTCCCGCGTTGGGAGTGAAGCTCTACCTGTTGCCATGGTGTGGGAGGAGAAAGGAGCCTGGGAGAGGCAGCGAGCCAGGAGGAATATTGCTGGAATATTGCTGTTCCAGCAGAGAAGTACAGTTGTGAAATTAAATTGAACTGGGAGTCATTTGAAAGGGAAAACAGTGTTGCTGTGTAGTTACAGCTGAACCAGGAGCCGCTGTTGTGTAATTAGAGCGTGGGGCTAATTAACACAGCCAGGAGGGTCTGGCAGCTGTGCCACCACAGATCACCAGCTGTACCTGAAGGCTTTGGGGGTGGCATGAATATTTATGGTTCAGGCAGAGCATTAGGATTGTCTGATCCAGGACCTACAGGAACCTCTGCAGGACCGTTGCTCCCATATTTACAGAATTATACAATAAAATGATAGAAATTATATCTATAGATGTAATTTTATGTATAATTATATTATATTATTTTATATGTATATATAATTTTATATATGTAAATTTTTATATTATTTGTATTTATATTTATGTATATATAAATTATTATTATAGAAAAAATTCTACATATAGAATTATAGAGTAAAATCCCAGGATGGTTTGGCTTGGAAGGGACTTTAAAGCTCATCTCATTCCAATCCCCTGCCATGGGCAGGGACACCTTCCATAGCCCAGGTTGCTCCAAGCCTTGTCCAGCCTGGCCTTGGACACTCCCAGGGATCCAGGGGCAGCCACAGCTTCTCTGGGCAACCTTTTCCAAATCCAAAACGAAAACCTGAAGGAAACCTAATTCAGAAAACTGAATAATAATAAACTATTTCAATCATTAACAAAATATTTTACAATACATATTATTATACATGTTATTAATGTCTCTATATATTTACCTTTATTTTAGATGTTTCGTCTTTATTTATAAATAATTCATAAATTTTAGATATTAATGTTTTCAGTATATTTTATCTATACTTTATGTATTTTATTTAATGTAGTGAGAGAGTCAGTGAGTGCTGAGGGAGTTTTTGATGGCAGAAGCTGTGCAGTGCCCGGGCAGTTCTGCACTCCATCAGCAGATGGTGGTAGAAACCCTGTTGCTGAGTTTCCTGGAGCTTCTGCACCTTGCCCAGAGGCCTGTCCTGGCTCCAGGGGACCCTGGTTGTCACCTGTCCCTTCCCTCCCCCAGATTACAAAGTGGGATGAACCTGCAGATCTGCTTTGTGAACGACAGCGGCAGCGACAAGGACAGCGATGCCGACGACAGCAAGACAGAGACCAGCCTGGACACGCCGTTGTCACCCATGGTAGGTCTGGGATCCCGTCCTGGAGCATCCCTGGGGGGGCTGAGGAAGAGCTGATCCTCTTCAAACAGCAACACCAAACCCCAGAGCAGCCTTTTCAGCCATCAGTAAAGTGTGAGATGCTGAGGGGCAGATAAAGAGCTGCTGTGGAGCTGATGCCTTCGTGTGAAGGTTCCTCCTTCCTCCCTTTCTTTTTGCCTCTGTAATTGAGGTGAGGTGTTATCAGCTCTCAGCAGCTTTTCCCCCCTTTTTTTCCCTTAGTGAAGATGACACTGCAGCCCCAGATGTTCCCCTCCCTGTGTCCTTTCAACCCCTATTGATCTGGTGGCTTCTCTTCCTGTTTAAAGTTGTATTAACAGTCAACAAGCCTTGTCTGGGAATCGCTCTGATTTCGAGAGATAATCTTGGGGATTAAGATAAAAGAAAAAAAATCCGTGCTTTTCACAGTTTCTGTAGAGATGATGCCACTTTTAAGCCCACAAAAGAAGTTAAGCCAAGAGCAAATGTCTTTGCTGTGGCACGGTCAGGGTGACAGGGCTGTCACAGCTCCATGTGCTTCCCTAGAGCAAGCAGAGCTCGTCCTACTCCGACAGAGACACGACAGAGGAGGAGTCAGAGTCCCTGGATGACATGGACTTCCTCACCAGGCAAAAGAAACTCCAAGCTGAAGCCAAGATGGCCTTGGCTATGGCAAAGCCCATGGCCAAAATGCAGGTGGAGGTGGAAAAGCAGAACAGGAAGAAATCGCCGGTAGCGGATCTTGTGAGTGGGGGCTGTGGGATGGGATTGGGTGGGATGGGATGGGATGGGATGGGATGGGATGGGAGAGGACACCAGGCCTTTGGACATCCACACCACTGATGGGCATGGGGAGGATGGTGGAGATAGGGGCTGCCCTCAGGAGTGGAAGGGTCAACGTGGGTTATCTTGTTGGGGTGTTACGGGACAACAAACTCTTATTTTCCACATGTTTCAGTGGAATTACCATAAAATACACTATTACCATAAAATACACTATTACCATAAAATGCAATTATTACCATAATAATTGCAGTTGTTTATGACTTGAAGCCTTGGGTGCAGTGTTGGGTAGAAGGCTGAGCTCACTTTGTGGTGGAGTCGTTGGTGCCTGTTGTGAGAGGGGGATGGAAACGGCCTGAATGGTTCAGAAATGCAAAGAGTTGGAAGAAAAGTATATAAAATATTGACAATTCCCTTCCAGCTGCCACATATGCCTCATATAAGTGAATGCCTGATGAAGAGAAGTTTGAAACCCACTGATCTAAGAGACATGACTATCGGGCAGCTACAAGTGATAGTCAATGATCTGCACTCACAGATAGAAAGTAAGTGAGAAGTCTTTCATTATTCTTTGGAATATCCTGTTTAATCAAGAAAATTCTCCAGGATATACAGAGAAATGTTGATAACTGTATGAGAACATAAGTATACATATATTATTTTTTATATATATTTATTCTTACATATATGTGAATAATAATATATATAAATTTATATTAATATATATTTTTGTTTATTTATATTTATAGATAGTATATTATATATTTTATATTTATTTATATATATTTATATTTATTTATATATTTCTATTTATTCTAATATATTATATATTTTTATATTTGTTTATATATATTTCTATTTATTCTCATATTATATCATCATCATCTATTATATATATGTGAATAATAATATATATAATAATATAATGATATGTATTATATTATATAATAATATATATTATATAATAATATATAATATATATTTACTTTTATATATTTATATTTGTTCTTATATATTATTATATATGTGCATTATAATATGTATGATAATATAATGATATTTCTTATATAATAATATATATAATGTAATAATATATAAAATATATATGATATATCTTATGTAATAATATATGAAATCTATTTATATATTTATAGATATTTATTTATTTTATTATTTATATTTATTTCTATATTTCTATAATTATATAATTACAGAATATTTATATATAGATATATGTAAATATATATAAATATATATTTATATATTTCATATGTGAATAATTATATATATAAAAATATGTATGAATATATATAAGAATAAATACATATAAGAAATATTTATAAGAATAAATATATACACATATATGCAAATATATTTATACTTATATATTCTTGTATATATTTATATATTATTATTTTATATATATATTCTTTTATATAATTTTTAAATATATATTTATTGATTTATATTTATTTATTCTTCATGGAAAGGGCTGTCCAGCCTTGGCACAGCTGCCCAGGGCAGTGGTGGAATCCCCATCCCTGGAGGGCTTTAAAAGCTGTGCAGATGTGGGGAATGTTGATGTACAAACTGGGGTTTCCCAGGAAATCACAAACTCCCCCCTTTTCTCTCCTGGCTCCAGGCTTGAACGAGGAGCTGGTGCAGCTGCTGCTGATCCGGGACGAGCTGCACACGGAGCAGGATGCCATGCTGGTGGACATCGAGGATCTCACCAGGTCAGGGAGGCTCCTCGGGGTGTTCGGGGGCACTGCCTGTCCCATCCCCACATTGTTTGGGGTCATTGCCTGTCCCATCCCCACATTGTTTGGGGTCACTGCCTGTCCCAATCCCACATTGTTTGGGGTCATTGCCTGTCCCAATCCCACATTGTTTGGGGTCATTGCCTGTCC